AATGCTACAATAAATATTAGTGTACAAATACCTGTTGTGAGATCCAGTTTTTAATTCCCATTTTATAATTCTATGCTTAATTCTGAGAGGAACATTACTGAGAGCTTGGAAAATTCTGTGTTCTGCCTCAGTCAGTAGGTTGTGTTATTCAGACTTGGGGGTGTTCCACTACACCCAGGGACGCATAGTGACAGGACTCAGGAGAGGAACCTTAGGCCATGTTTCTAGTTCCCAGAGCTGTCCTGGTCATGGCACTGAGATGGCATGAGCTCCCAGATAGTGTGGCTCTGGGCTGGTTCTCTCCACAGATGGCCTATATTTCCTCTGGGCCAAGAATGGTGCCGTCTACCAGACCTTCTGTGACATGACCTCTGCGGGTGGTGGCTGGACCCTGGTGGCCAGTGTGCACGAGAACAACGTGGCTGGGAAGTGCACAGTGGGCGATCGGTGGTCCAGCCAGCAGGGCAACAGAGCAGACTACCCAGAGGGGGACAGCAACTGGGCCAATTACAACACCTTCGGGTCTGCAGAGGCGGCCACCAGTGACGACTACAAGGTGGGTGCCACTGGGAAAGGGTGAGGACCTGAGTGTGGCTGGCCACAGCATGCAGGAGGGAAGTTGGGAGGGGGGCTGTGGACATGGGGTTGGAGCAGAAGAGAGAAATAGTCACATGCCTTGCATGCCAGCCTCCTCCCATAAGGCCATTAGGCAGTGGGGTGGTGGTGGGGATCTGCTGGAGGTGGGTGTGTGTGAGCACGGCTGGCCGTCTGTCCACCTGGAGCCCAGAGCTGTCAGCTCAGCTGAGAAAGCCCATGTGTGTCTTTTGCCCATGTGGGACATTCTGAGTTGGTCAGTCTCAGTGTTGGTTGCTTTCCAGAACCCTGGCTACTACGACATCCAGGCTGCGGACCTGGGCATCTGGCATGTGCCCAACAAGAGCCCCATGGAGAACTGGCAGAACAGCTCTCTGCTGATGTACCGCACAACAAATGGCTTCTTCCGAGATCTGGAACACAATCTGTTTGGCCTCTACCAGGTACAGAGGGCTGTTGGCTGGAGAGCACTTAAGTGTTTGGGATGGAGGGACAAATCAGCTCTCTGGAGCCATGTCCTGATTGAGTGGCTGGAA